ACCCTAGACCAATGTATACACTACTATAATCGATCGGTCAGTATTTTTCTCGGCAAATATATACATTGGTCTAAGGTTCGATATTCGAATAGGCGCGGAAAAAAATCAGGAGAATAATGTGAATAGCAGAACGAAAGAAGATATATAAAGACATGGTAATATGTTTATTCTAATTTTATTTCCAAAGGTTTATCGACAAGTAACACGTGTTATACATTTTCGTTGTTATTATATTCGTGAAAGTTGTAAAGAATGTCCGAAGAAAAAAGTCAAAATGATGAATCGTCGAATTTCAAAGAAATATTTAATTTAGTAAACATAAATTTCAATAAAGTATGAAATTAAATCTTTTTTTTTTTTTTAGACAAATCAAACTATTAATCAATTACAAACGGATTATGATCAATATCGGGATAACCAACAGTTATTGATAGATTATATGAAGCTTAAGGTCAATATGAAACCAAGACGTGAAGGTGAACAACAACCATTACCTGAAGATTCAATATTAGTCAATACAAATATTGAAAAGTTGGAAGATCAAGCAAATGCATTAAATCTTTCGATCAAATATGGATTTAACATTTTATGTGATCTTCAAGCTGAATTAAGTACGTATAAAATGAAGATGAATTATAATTTATTTATTTATTATTTTTAGAGACAATTTTCGAAAAGGATCAATCAAAAACTACATACATTCCAACAGGTTCAGATGCTCCAGCACATTCAAATTTTCCAACAAATGAAAATGCTCCAACAACTACAGATGGTCGTTGACTTTGAATTTTTTTTCATTTCATGTCGATTCTGGTATAACAAGATTATTCACTATTTTTTATTTTTGTATTAAAATAAATACATTTACTTTTCTCAAGCAGCAGTCTTTTTTTATTATATATTTAAAAAAGATATAATTAATAACATCTCATCATGATAAATCGTCATGGATTATACCAGACAGCGGAATTGAATCAAACGAAAGTACAATTGATGTAGCACATAGAGAATTATATGAAGAAGCTGACGTTAAAGAATGTATTCTTCGAGAATCAGATGTTTTTGAAAATCATGAAAGAAAATGTTAGATGTGACAATCTAAGGCAAAAGAGAATAGTGTCTCTTCTAGCCTAATTAGCTTATGGTATGATTTCAAGAACCTATGACTCATGCTATCTATAGCAGATTTAAAAGTAACTAATGCACTTTGTATATGAATATCGGGCAATGAATTCTATGAGATGAAACTATATGAAAAGATAGAGAATTTTAATCTGATTCTAACATAATATCTCTCATTTGGAGCAAATTTTTCCGAGACCTGTTTGAAGCAAAATACTTTTAGATAGTACTGGCCTCTATATTTAATTCTTTCAATTGATATGACAAATAAATCACATTTCTCTCAATGAGACAGACGTTCAATTTTAATTATTATTCACTTCTTTGTTTCTCTATTTGAAAAATTGGAATAATAATAACACGCTTGTCATTTCATTTGGATGATGATAACTATTATAATGTCAGAATGAGTCTTAATAATAGATTTTTTAAATTAGAACACTTTCTAATTTGGATTGTCTTGGATAAATAATTATTAGCTTTTTTTGGATATTAGTGTTTTTGTTATAATAATTTACTAAGTGTTATTAATGTAATTTTCTTTCTTAGGTTACTTTACTTAATCAGTAGTATTTTCAGATTGTCTTTCTACTAGAGATTATGTCAAATGGATATTATGAATTAGTTAGTGTCCAAGATAAACTATTTCGATTCTAACATGAACAAATATTTAGAATTACAGTCGTCTATACTCTGGAAGAATCTAATTCGATTCAAGACCTTTATCATCATTTGTTTGACATTATTTTAAACATGTAATAACCAATTAGATTATATATTCAATCAAATATCATTCAAAATAAAGTTGAAGCAGTGCAAGTAAGCAGGCTCGTTTTTTGTTGACAATCATATGTGCTGATCTAAAGATTCACTGTAACCTAGTTTAAGAAATTCAATAGTAATCTTTTATAATATTCTCATATGAAAAAAAATAGTCAGCGACATGTAGTAATTGTGAAATTTTTTAAAGCACTTCTTTCTTAAATGAGATTTATATTGTTCTATACCACAAGAACATAATACATATCTGTCGTTATGCAATTTATGATATTTCTACCATCATATGATATAACTTAAATGCATTCATTTTATAAACATGAACAAAATACTCTTAATGTATGATGAAAAACTTTCAAAATTCTGCTATATGAACATGCAAATATTCATATACAATAATAAAATAACTTTTGGAATATGGAAAGTTTGAGTAAAAACAATTTGGTATTTTATAGCTGAACAAGTTAAAGGAACGTACTGTCATTATCCATCATAGTCCTTTTCATTACCAGGGTAACAGCCTTTTCCTTGATGATTATTTGGGATAAAAAAACAATTCCCTCAAACAAGAGTAGTCTTAACTTATTTCTTATTTGATGCTGATCTCAGATAAATCAGAATTCTTTCAAAATTTCCATTGCCCGATATTAATGTATAGACGTTGCTTGTGAGAAATGCATCTGCTATTGATAGGCCGAACGAAACGACTTTTTTCTGAGAGACAGTATACCATTAGGACATCTGGCCGGATAGCAGAAAGTGCGTAGTTCAATTCCTGCGAAGAGGGTATCTTTTTCGTTCTGTCACTATAACATTTCCTCCATTTGACCGTGGCTATGTAACTGAAAACATCAAATAACTGTTTTTGTTGTTTTTCTTGAAGAAGAATATGATGATTAGAATAATAAAAGATTAATTGATCGACAAAGACATTGGTATCAATTAAAAGATGCTTTCAAATTATTAACTATTTATAAACCATCTCAACTAACTTCTTTCGATTCTTTTCAAAAAAAAAAAAAAAAAACTATCTTGATAGGTTGTGCCATAGTGCAATATTTCAATATACTAACAGTAGCACAAAAATGAATGTATTATTCATAAATTTCCATATGAATTTTGCTATAAAGTCCAATGATAAAATCTCGAATTTTCTATTAAAATAATAGTGAAAACTTTATTTAAATTTTGAAGAACTTTATGATGGGATCACTTTCTATTACATCGATAATATAACAAGTATTTTCAACATTTTACATTGCTCTCTGAATATGCAGTACAACATAGAACCATGAAAGTCTTACTAGGTCCAGGATTTCCACTTTTACATTTACAAAAAAATTTTTTTCTTGTAATAACAGAAGAGTATTGTATCACGGCATTTTATGATTTATTAAAAAAACAATCATTATTAGACAATAGAGTCAAATATTTGACAATTGATCGTTTTTCGTTTTCCTTTTTTCTGAATGAATATCTTTTCTTATTTATGTGTGATGTAAAATGCTACATCGATCACATTAACATAGAAATAAAAAATCGAAAAAAAAAAAAAAAAGAAATATCCGTCTGTGAATATATTGGAGGACTATACACACAAATGTTATAATTCTTTATTCAATAGAAAAGGTCAATCTTTTTTTTCTCCAATAATAAAAGTGCTTATGAACAAAGAATCAATAGATAAGCATATATATCGTTTTACAATAGGTGTTACAACCATATTTCAATATGAATCAACATAATGTTCATCTTCTTGATCTACCCAATGAAATATTATTTCTCATTTTGAGAAAACTTGCCAATGTTGATGTTCTTTATTCTTTTTTGGGTATCAACAATCAACGACTTGAAATTATAGCACAACAACAAATCTTCACTAACGTCCTGAATTTTGTTTCTATATCACAATCAACTGATGAGATTTCTTCAATTTCTGCTTCAATACTCGATCGATTTTGTAATTCAATATTATCAAGAATTTATATAAATGTTAAATTTCTCATTCTTGAATCTGTTTCCATGGAACGTATTCTTCGTGTTGCTAACTATCCTAATCTTACTGGAATCAAAATTTTTAATTTCAACAAAGCAATCGTTTCACGTTATTTCATGGGTAAATTATTCATGTTTACTGGTCTTTGACATAGAAATATATTGAGATACACATACTTAACTATATCTATGTATTTTGTTTAGATGATTCTCTCTTTGGACATAATTTTAAACAACAAATTACAGATCTTGTTCTTGTCAGTAATGAAAACAATATTGAAATAACACCAAAAGAATATACAAAGAATGTTTATGCAATTATCTTTGTTTTCTTTGAAAATCTAAAGCATTTGAGTATTGTGTCATCATCTATCAATGATTATTCACCTTTGTCATTATATTTTTTACCATCAATGACTTGTTCTTCTTCGACACTTACTAAATTATGCATCAATGTATGTGATTTTAATGATGTTCATGCTTTACTTGATGGTCGTCTCAAACAATTAACTACACTCATCGTTCAAGTTGATATTATTAGCGATCTGATATTAACATCTTACAACAGAGTGAGTTTATGTTCTGTGTTATTATAGTTTTCTAATTAGTATTTAATATTGAACCTGGCATGTGAACGCTCTATTCCAAAAAAGGAGGAATTAGAAGGATTGTCATTGAAAATTTTTAGAAGGATCTGACATTAAAAAGGAGAAAAATAGGAGGATTTCTGTTTTCTCGTGAAAATTGTATTCTATGTAGCATTTTAAATTATCACGATGCTTTTTTATTGTCTATACGACATTCGATAGATTGCCATAGTTTATTTTCACAATATAAATCCTTGGTTTTACACAATGTACAAATGAATGAATGATAATTTTGCATCTTGATTCAGTTATCGCTTAACAGAAATATCGTCTGAATTTATTTTTTTCAACTATGAAATATTAAATCGTGTTACATGAAGAGATATTTAACGAAAATGTAATTATCTAATAATAGTTTTCTTGAAATGATTGGGTATAGTCCTCTAACAAAAAAATGTATTTTAATTTTCAAGAAAAGTTTTCCTTTGACTTGAGTTTTCAACAATTTCTCATTGTAATCGTCAGAACATGACCATATATGAATATAAAAAAAAATATTCATATGACTGAATTGCTACTTTTTGCTAGGGTTGAATTTTTAGTTGTATTTTGTCAATAATTTTCGTTTTGATGAACCGATTCAGACGATTTTTTTTACATATTACTGGTCTTTGAGTGTCCTACTGCCACACAAAAATTTAGCTCTCTAGCTCCTATGGTTGCTGAATTATGAAGATTACGCTGTTAAAAAATCGCATTTTACATAAAGATATACTGAGAAAATTGAATTTTTTCAATAAAAGAGAAAAGTGAAAAAATATAATGAATAGATCATTTTGTACAACTTGAAATAACTCTATTACATTATTCATTTATTGTATTTTTTTTCTTGCTTCATAAATTCTTATTAAGAACTTCTTGATATGTTACACAAAAAAAAATTATGTAATTATAATTTGCTAGAAGGAACAACACAGGAAAAAAAAAGCGAAAAATGTTGTATGATTATTGTATAATGTTGTTCGTCGTTTCTTTTGCTTTTTTTTGCTCCTTCTAGCACATTGTAATTATATTATCTTTTGATGCTACTTATTAAAACTTCTAATATATATATATATATATATCCCATGTGAAAAAAAAGGAGGCAAAAACAACTTTTTAGTATTTTTAAAAGTTGTTTTTAAACAGCAAATAGTACTTATAAGTGAACCTTTTTATGTAATTTTCATATTTTTTGACCAAAAAGTAGTATTAAATACTATTGAAAGTATGAAAAAGCAATAAAATTTACTGAGAAAGGTGAAAAACAATAATAAAATTTTATTTATTTTACTATATTAATATTGAACATACTTTTCAATGTTTACAAGATTATTAATTACAGTTAATATTAATATAGTAAAATAAATTAAATTTTATTACTTTTTCACACTTCCAATAGTACTCAATAGTATTTTTTAGTCAAAAAAGTATGAAAATTACATAAAAAAGATTCACTTATAAGTACTATTTGCTGTTTAAAAAACAACTTTAAAAGTAGTAAAAAGTTGATTTTTGTCTACTTTTTTTCAAAGGGATATGTATACTTCTTTTTCTATTTGTATATGTTTATTGCATACTGATGATTATTCTAAATTGCCAAAAACTTGAAATAAAGATTGATATTGATTGAAAATTAAAATACATTTTTTGCTGCAGTAATAAATTCAATCATTTCAAATATCTTCTGCATTGTAGAAACGCCAAATATTTTTGTTTAAGATATTGAAGATACTGATTTCACAACTTAAGTGATAAAAAAGAGGAATAGGAGGATTCCAACGCAAAAAAGGAGGAGAAGGAGTACATGTTTTGAGGAAAAGAAGAAGGTTTCACATGCCACTATTGAACATAAAATAAAATTTAGTTAGAAGTGTAATAAACAATGAAATTTCGGCAATAATAAATATGATATTTTAATTTTGATTATCAAGAAATAAATAAAATAGATTATTATAATTATTTTGATGTTATTCGAGATTATTCCATAATTAAATCATTATTCATTTGAAAATAGTTAATCAACTATTGCAGTCATTAAATAATCTGATAGAAAATATTCTATTTTATATATTTTCTAATGATTTTGTTGAATTAATTCATCTATGTTAAAACAAATAAAACACCTGGTTGTCAAAATAAACATTTTAACAAATCGAGTTTTGTTTTAAGCCTCATTGACTTTTATTATTGAAATGAGCATATTTATTTTAACAGAACTACAGTAAAACCTCTTTATAGTGGACACTCTTTGGACTTTTCAAAAGTGTCTACTATAGAGAGGTACCCACTATAGGGACGATAGGTCTTTTGTAAAAGCAAGATTTTTTACAAAGAATAGACATTTTTTCTAGGATCTGAAGAGTGTTATAAATAAAATAACTATCTAGTAGTGATTGTTACTTCTCTTTTTATGCATTTCTATTTTTGAAATATCAACAGTTATTCAAATAGAGTAAAATCTTCCTGTCTTGAACACTATTGGGAATATTCAAAAGTATCCATGATAGAACTATATAATCATGTTCACTATAGAGAGATTGATTTCTAGCAAAAAAAAATGATAGCAGGGACTATCGAAAAATGTTCACTATATGGAGGTATCCACTGTGCAGAGATTCAATTCCAGGAAATATCGTTCCATCGGATCACGATGTGTCTACTTTACGGAGATGTCCACTATGGAAAGATGTCTACTAAGAGAAGTTTTACTGTATTAATTTTTTTTTACTAATAATTATTCTTGTAATGGCTAGGGCTATATAATGAATCTTATTGAATATTTTGAAATGTGAAATTAGCAAAATGTCAATATCGACAAAACAGATTCTCGAAAAACAAAACGTCGACTAAAAACAAAATGTTGAATGTTATTAAAATAAGAAAAGAAAATTGAACTGCAATAAAATAAGAGGTGAGAAGCTACGAGAGTGAATATGAAGAGAAGAAAATATACAATGAAATGCCCCATCATTATTCTGTATTATTATAGAAATTGCGACATTTCTCTTGTAAATATTTTGTATTCGACATTTGGACACCTCATCATAAAGACTTAATAAATACAAATTTATTATCATTATTTCCTAGAGGATACATATATTTCATAGAATACCACAAACATTTAAAAATAGAACTTTGAAAATGACTTATATCTATTGATTAATGGTTGATGTGAATTTATATCTTAGTTCGACTGATAAAGATGAATTTATAAATATTTGCTCTCTTTTTTTTTCAGGTTGATCTATCTAATTTAAAATGTTTCTCATTAACATGTCATCGTCGTATTCGAGGATATAAAATTCAAGTTTTACCTCTTCTTCGTCGAATGTCACATCTTGAAGAATTAACTTTATATCTTTATATCTTGGGTGAATCAACATTTATCTCTAGTACTCATCTTGATAATGAAATTCTTATTCATATGCCACGACTTCATACATTCACATTTTATTTCGCTTCTGAAAATGACATTGATGATGATACAGATATTCGCATATTTAATTCAAATATTCAACGAAGTTTCACCAATATGAAATATGGACAGGTGGCTTCTATAGTAGATTATTTGGACGTTTGCAAAATCATATGTCATATTTTTTCACTTCCATTTAAATTTCATTTTCTTCAACACATCGGAAATAATATACCAAATGTTGTATTTAATTCTGTCACTCATTTGAAATTATGGGATAAAGATGAATTCAAACATGAATTTTTCGTTCGACTTACTCGAGCTTTTCCATGTCTTCAAAAGTTATCTATTTGGAATATTAAGCCACCATTTTTGAGATGTCATGAATTTCATCTTCGTGATAAAGATTGGTGCTCAATTATTGAATATCCGCATCTTATTTCACTTAACATCAAACATGCACATCCTTATTATGTTGAACATTTTCTCAATGAAACAAAAACACATTTACCACGTTTAAGAGAATTAAAAATCACTTCTTATCAGTTGAAAAACGTGACAAAAAATTTTACAAGAGATGAAACACGACGTAATTGTGCTAGAGTGAATCGATTAATTGTTGAATGTCAAATCGTTTATTCGAAAGATGTCTATAATTATTTTCCTTTGTTGTAACTTTAATATAGTTCTGATATTATCTGAATAAAAAGCTATGATGTAAAATATAATTTTTTTTCTTTACAATATTTAATACCGAAAGGAATTATTGATGATGTTTTTTTTCCTCCTTCATCACCTCCATCCAATTGCTTTTACTGTTGTTCATCGATTACCACACTGTACGATCTATCATATTACATAAAACGCCATTGTTTTAACCTTCGGGTGTGGATGTGGGTGTTAGTGTGTTTCGAAAAGAGAAACAACCACACCCACACACCCATACCCCAATTTTATATTTTTTGGTATATCTATCTTTAATAATGATAGGTCTCAAAATAGAATTCAATAAGCAAACTGAGCGGCAACATGTTCTGATTTCTTTCCCAGTTATCTTTCAGTTCTAGGATAGGGGTGGCACTTTAAACTTTAAAAACACTTTAACTTTAATTAAAGTGAAACACTTTAAACTTAAATTAAAGTGAAAACTTTTCAAAATTTAAACTTTAATTAAAAGTTTAAAGTAAAATACTTTAAACTTTAATTAAAGTAAAAATTTTAACACTTTAACTTTAAAAAAAAAAGTTAAAGTTAAAGTGCTTGCGTCATGCCATACTACAAGGGTACCCTTAGGTTCTCAAGTGCTATACTATTGAGGTACCCTTAAGTCCTCAAGTCCTATATTATTGGGGTACCCTTAGGTCCTCAACTGCTATACTATAGGGATACCCTCAGGTCCTCAACTGCTATACTATTGGGGTACCCTTAGGTCCTCAACTGCTATACTATAGGGATACCTTCAGGTCCTCAACTACTATACTATAGGGGTAACCTTAAGTCCTCAATTACTATATTATTGGGGTATCTTTAGGTCCTCAACTGCTATACTATAGGGGTACCCTTAGATCTTCAACTGCTATAATATAGGAGTAGCTTTAGGTCCTCAACAGCTATACTATAGGTGTACCCTTAGGTCCTCAAGCGCTATACTATAGGTGTATCCTTAATTCCTCAAGCGCTATACTATTGGAGTATCCTTAGGCCTTCAAGTCCTATACTATAGGAGTACGCTTAGGTTCTCAAGTGCTTCACTATTAGGATACCTTTAGGTCGTCAAGTACCCTACTATAGGGGTATCCTTAGATCCTCAAGTTTTGTACTATGGTTTTGCCCTAGGTCGTCACGACCTACACAGGTGCTCAAAAATTGTTCGTATACCTGACAAATGATCTTGTTTCTTTAATATCTCATGCTGAGTTCAAGGTATAGAGATGTGATTTTCGCCAACAGGATGTTGTATTGTCATAGATTTTGACCTGAAAGTGTCAGCTCTCTAAGTCCTGGATTTGTTGTGCTGGAGTAAAAGTAGTGAAAATGAGTTGCTTTGATTTGGCTCCAATTTGTTCGTACACCTAACGAATGGGGCAAAATAGATTGACCTCTCATGTATTTTCTCTGTGACTGTTTTTTTTCTTTCAACAAGAAGCCATGATTGTTTTAATGGAAAGATTCGTCATGAAATTCTCTACAAACTAGTCTATTTCACTTTGATTAAATAACCTTTATTTTACCTTAAAATGAAATTAAATTTGCTTGTTAAGATGGTCACTACTTTCAGAAAACAACTATTTTTAACTTTTTTCTAATCTCTTCTCATCTGTTATTTCTTAGCAAATCCAGTTCATTTTAAGGTATGATGGAGGGTAACTTGTTAAAGTAAAATAGACCAGTTTGTAGAGAATTTCATGACGAATCTTTCCATTAAAACAATTGTCTTTTTGTTGAACAAAAAAAAGTTACAGAGAAAATACTGAGTGGTCAATCTATTTTGCCCCATTCGTTAGGTGTACGAACAAGTTTGAGCCAAATCAAAGCATCTCATTTTTGTGTACTCAAAAAGTGAGTACACTCTAGAATCGGTCAGTGTGTCCGGCCGTTAACACGATAACTTTTGAAAGGAGAGTCCGATCGCGATGAAATTTTCTACACAGTTTAGTCTTAACTATATCTCGGTCGAGTTCGAAGATGAGAATGATTGGCCGAACCATTGCTGAGTTATTGCAAAAATAGTCATTTTTCCCTATGAGAAGATAGACCCTTCTCTGTTTTCATAAAAAACTTTTCCTTGAATAGTCAAATAAAACCACAACTATTATATACCATTCGATAGAGAATTTCACGAGCTACAAAATCGGATATAAAACATAAAGAAACAAGAAAGCTAACTCGCCTATTGCAAAGATAATTAATCGGAATTCGGTTCTGGTTTTGTCCACGCTCTATGTGATCCACAATTCGAGCTCTATCGTTCCCATCACAGAGATGATAGTTCGACGTTTTCTAGAATGGAGAACTCGAATCTATGTTCCATTCGCCTCGAAATCCCATTGGTTGAACAGTAACCGATAGAAATCAAGTTATAGGAAAAACGAGTTTCTTAGGGTAAATCAAGGTGAAGAGTTGAAATCTTCTCTCTATTCATCTCTAAATCCTATTGGTTGAGCAGTAGCCAATAGAAATCAAGTGTTTACAGAAAGGGTTTGCCAGGACAATTTTTTTTGATGTCCAGACATTCGTCGGGTGACTCATCTGTCTGATTCACT